AGATTTTTTTTTTTTTTTTGAACCAGGGGTTGAACTCAGGCCCTTGCACTTTCCAGGCAAGCACTTATTCTACTGATCCATCTCCCCGGCCCCAAGACGTAAGAGTTTTTATGAGTAACTCAACAACTGCTTGCTTGTGTTTCATAAGCATTTGCCTGCTTTGTGAGGACTTATAATGTGATCTTTAATTCCATCCATCGGAGTGTGAGGCGATTGTCCTTTTACTACATGGAGGCTACCCCAAGCCGGACACCGTCCTAGACCCCAGAAATGCTTCAGAACATAGTCTGTTCCCCTGGCGGCCTCGCTTATTGTGGAAAGATGAGAAATGTACAAGGATTAGTACTGCAGAGGCACAAATGACAAGAAGTATTCAAGGAAGTGTGGCCAAGGCTGCTGTAAGTAGGGTGAGATTTTCCAATCAAGTAATCATTTTTCACATGTAAAAGGTGATGAAACACACACATCCGAACGTCCTTCACCCCAGTCAAAGCACATTTTCTGCCTTCTGGAAGCTCTCCAGGGTTCACTGTATGACGTGCATCTTTCTTCCCAAGCAAACAATGTAAACTAGACAGTGAAGTGGGTGGCTGTCATTGCAGACAACGTGGAGCTCAACCGGGGCAGCTGCCTGCGTCCCTTGAGCGACAGCTGGGAGCAGGTCACTTGGTCGACCTGGCTCCAGCTGGGCTGCAGAAAGCCCTGCCAGCCTCCTCCTCCCTCTCTGCTTTGACAACGAGACCACCTCTCTGCTACGGAGGGCACTCTAGTGACCGCGAACACCTGGCCCTCTTCGCCTTGCAGCCACTCATTTCCCACGGGAGATTTTCTCTCTGAAGACAAATTAAAAGACTATTCCTGACTCTCAAAATCTTTCTACAATGAAGTTGATGTCATGAGAAAATGAGTGTCATGGAGTAACATAAACATAATCTTAAATAAAATACCTTTAATTAATTTGAGAGGACTTTAAAGAAAATATGTAACAAAATGAATTTTTCAGGTATACTATATATGCAGAATGTATAAAATCTAATTGCATAAATCGAAACAATTTTTATTGAAACCATGTCAATTATGAACTCTCTCTATCCTATTTTCTTGATTTCTGCCTACCAAATATCTCTCATCAATAAGTTCCTGTCATTATTTAATAGCATCTTCCTTTTAATCAAAAATATTTCAGCTCTCTATATAGTTACATGCAAACTATGATTTTTCCTAATTAGGAAATATTATAATTACTCTGCTAGGTGTAACTAACTGAAGCCATATTGTTCTCATTCTTTATTACAGCATTATTGCAGAATTGCATCTGCCCTCCTCCACATCTGGGGCAACTTCCCATGGACCAAATGAAATAAAAGGGAAAACGGACAGCGTAATTTCGCAATATTCCTGAAGCCACTGGGCATTTCTGAGTGTACCTTTTACTGTGGACAAGTGAGTAGGTGCATTTACGTACACTACACACTCTAGATGACGGGAGATTGCCGGAGCAGGCAGGCCTTCCAGTTGTTCTGCTGTAGGTTCTGAGAGGTGCATTACTGTGCTTAAATAAAACAGGATACTTGCTATCAGGACACTCTGCTGTGTTCTTTGTTTTTTGGTTTTGGGGTTTTTTTTGCATTTTAGGGACAATCTATAGGGTGTTCAGGGTCTCACTACTAGAGTGGACGTGTAGTGATCCGCCTGTTTACAGTCTCCCAAGAGCTGGGATTACAGGCACGCGCCACCACGCCCAGCCTCAATTGCCATCTCAGCGCTCCTGGGGGCGGGACCGGACGGCAGGCCCGGGGATCGAAGCCCCGGCCCTGCTGCTGCTTGCGGGAGCTTTAGTCCGCCGAGCACTGGCCCTTCTGCTGTGTTCTAACAGAGCAACAGGCAGTGCCCTCCTCCTCGCCCCTCGGACGGATCCCTGCAGCCCAAGGGCTGCTGGTGTCTTCCCACTCAATGCAGCAATTCTATGACTAGCTTTAAAAGACAAAAACTGTTTCAGGACCCTAGATATCAGTTCAGGAAACAGATACACATTCATAGTAGTCATGTTCCTAGTATTATGGCCTTTGTCACAAATACCTTTTATTCAAAGAAAAACAGCACACAACATTTTTCATATTTCTGTTTTAATAAAATTCACATTTCAAAATTAATGTAATAAAAACCACGAATTCTTAGTAAATGCACAAATATTAAATAACATTATAAAAAAATGACTGTACATTACAAAATCACATACAAAACAATAATTATTTCTTATTGGCACTCTCAGACATAATTTACACCATTCAATGTTGAATATGGAATGCTAACCGTATAAGAAAATAATATTTCTAGCAAAATACAGTAGAACACAATTTTAATATTTTACTTATAATATGCAATCTAAGCTCTGTATTTAAAAAACTATAAATTACTGTGTACACAAAGGTAAACCAAGATCTGTATTCTACGGCAGAATACAGCTTGTCTCTGACTTCTGGGAAGTCTCTTATTTACTCAGATTAATACCCCACAGCAGAACTTTCATTTCTCTTTTACATTTGCTGTGATTCCAGGCACTTTAATTTCAAATTGCATTTACATCCTTAAGAGATGCCTGTGGAAGAAAAAGAAGAAAATATTAATGGCCTAGCTTTACCAAATAAAAACATTTATATTGTAATTATTCATGTATTTATTTAATTTGTTTTAAATTTTGCTTAAGGACTCTATGAACTCTTAATGCACATCTAATCTTAGTAAGACAGACTAACCTGTTCAGGGAGGTACCCTCTGAAAACGCGGGATGTTGATTTCCCTCTTAAAGGGAAGGGCTCACGCCCTTATGGGATCCTTAAAGGGACCATCCCCTTATGATCTCTGGACACACCAGAACATGAGTAACATCACTCAAATAACTCATGAATATTACTGAAGTTTATTAATTTGGAATATTGTTGTAGCATCCTGGAAAATAAGTAGGTAGAAACAGATATGACCGAAGAAAATCATAGGAAAACAAAAACACTAAATCTCTAAACTCCACAATCTCAAACAGTCACATTTATGAGCTCTGTCTTCTATGGCTCTAGATAATGTGGGTTTGCAGGCAATATATTATTTTCTAGCTTTACCTTTTGTTGTGGTGGGGATTAATCCCAGGGCCTCAACAATCCTAGCACATGCTCTACCACCGAGCTATATCCCACCCGATATGTTAGATTACAACAAACTACTCATTTGGAAGGAATTTTTCAGTAATTATGTTAACTTACAGACTTCATATTCACATAAAATTCAGTACAAATAAAAATATATATGTAAATTTAGTTCATTTCAATACCCAAATGAATTTCTTAATTCATCCTCATTTTGCGTCATTCAAAAGCTCTGAGACAGGGCAAGTGTAATTGCTTGAAGCATCTTGCCACTAAATATTGAAACATTCTATTGCATTTTCTTAATCTAATGCAAGGGAAAGTTTTAAATTTAGCATCTTAGATCTTCAGAATTAGCAGTGCTAATTATTACTACTTTGTAATAGAATGAGAATAACAGCAATTGAGCCAACCGAGTTACAGCACAGCTTCATAACTGGGCGTTTTACACTTTTATTTCTTCACTTATTTTTTCTTTAGGAATATTTGTTTGTGTTTTGTTTTGCTGTTGTTTCTGCAATGCTGGGGCTCAGACCTAAGGCCTCACCCATGCTGGGCAGATGAACCCTAACCGACAAGTTCAGCTGCTACAATTGGTGATTTTATTTTATTTTATTTATTTTGTATCTTATGGAAGGGTCTACAGGGTGTTCAGGGTCTCATTTCTAGATCGGACTTGTAGTGATCTGCCTGTTTACAGCCTCCCAAAAACTGAGATTACAGGTGCACGCCACCATGACAAGTCTCAATTGCCATCTCAGCATGCCCTGGGGGCTGGGCTGGCACTGCCGCCCAGGGATTGAATCCCCGGCCCCTGTGCCTGCTTGTAGGCACTTTGATCCACTGAGCTATTTGGTTGGCCCTTCAATTTGTGATTTTAAATTACAGCACTCACCTCTTTCATTTGCAATCATTCTTGGTATTGTTAACTTAGGTTTCCAAAAAGATCTATTAGATCAATTGTGTTATCTTGTGATTATCATTATTCAGAAAATGAGGTCAGGACTGTCTCAGTAATTGTCACAACAAACCCAAGACGGCTTAAGTACATTCCTGCAGTATAGACCAAGTTCAAGAGGCCAGGGCAAAATTCTTCTATACTGCACGTGTTTTGGGACTTTCATCCCTACCCCAACCTGCTCACTCAGCAAACCAAGAGCCTCGCGGGGACCTGTCCGTGGTGCTGAAACCTGACCCCCATCTCCCTCACTTTGCACCTCGCTGGGGAAGATTAATTTGAAAAAGATATTTGCAAAGAAATTAGTATCTTTCAGTATTTTGAAGAGATTCTATTTTGGAAATAAGTGTTATAATTTACATTAAGATTTTTTATTATGCATCTTCTGAAAGTTCCTAGAATAACTAAATAAAAGTACCGATTTCTCATCTACCCTTCGTCAAGTAATAGACTAGAACAGACGGTTATTGCTTGCTCTTTATATGTGACTTTCATTTTGCTTCTTTCTTCTACTTTTTCAATCTTCTGCCTGCTTATTGAACTATGTAAAATAAAGTTCTCAGACCTGGTTTTATCTTTACTTTATCTTTTAGCCCATTAAGAAAAGATAGAACCTATACATTCTTTGCTTCATTTAATGTCTGTGGGCATAATGATTCCCCACAATAACAAAAAAATGGTTGAATTAGCTTATTTGATTACTCAAGATAAGTAAGAGTGTCAAGAAGCTGAATTTTTATTTTTTATTTTTTGTATTTTAGGGAAGGGTCTACAGGGTGTTCAGGGTTTCACTACTGAGATCAGACTCATAGTGTTTACAGCCTCCCAAGAGCTCAGATTACAGGCATGTGCCACCATATCCAGTCTCAAAACAAACCGATTTTATTATAAAGCAATCACTGTCGAGGACATTTTAATTTTTTTATTTTAAATAGAAATAAATTTTAAAAATAAAGCAGTTTCAAAATAGGCTAGTAGGAGAGTAGCAATAATATGTTGCATATGGTTACATTCACCATAGTTGTTCAGAGTAGAAGATAAAGGCATGAAATATTGTCCAAACAGTATTAGACAAAACTTTCTTTTCAATTATCTAAGCTGAAGATATCAGCTGTAGAACTATTTTAACCATTTTCTACATACACACTTCTTTCCATTTCCCTTTCTTCCTTTCTCTGTTCTCCCATCACAGTTTTTATTTCTCTTTCTTTTGGGCAGTGTCTTCCCTATTCCCAATATCTACTGTACATTTTTTTTGGTAGTACCAGGAATTGAACTCAGGACCTTATGCTTGCCAGGCAAGCACTTATTCCACTGAGCTATCTCCCCAGCCCCTACTAATGTACATTTTGGACCTATTTATTCATGAGGACATTTTAAATTAACTCAGTAAAGCAATCAGTGCGTCTAGACCAAGCTCAGACACAGAGTAAGTAATCTACAGATCAAGTTCACTAGGGATCGTGCAGATCAGCTTACTGGCTTCCTACCTGTCCCAGTTTTCTCAACAGAGGTGACTGTTGGGGCCAAGGATGCAGCTCAGTGGTGACAGAATACGTACTCCACTGTGCATGAAGCCTTACCTCTGATTCCTATCACTACCAAAGCAAGAAAAAGGAAACAAAAAGCCAAAAAAAAAAAATCCAAAATATTATGTAGCATTAAAGAAGAAGAGTAGAGCCATACTCACACCCACAGGGGAAGTACGCTAGGTCTGTGAGCACAGCGGACTCACTGCCAATCTCGTGAGCAATCTGGCACATCTTTTGTAGTCTAGGGAAAAATATTTAGACATAAATTATATATGCTGTTATAGTGTGGGAAAATCATGTTAGTTGTCACTAATTGATCTTGCAATAGGTACAATTTAATGAGCACCTAATATATCAGTCACTTAACATAGGTTTTTCTCATTAATTTCTCCGATAACACAATCCAGGAAGTGTGATTTTTATCTTCATTCAGAGATGAGTAAAGAGCCCCATAGCAGTGCTTACTGCATAGCGGGTACCCGTGGGGGCCCAGAGCCTGCATCTTCTTCACCACACTGTGCTTCCACTTACAGATTTTCTTCTTTGATTTCAATGTACTTTAATTTTTCCTAATTATTTAATACTAATTCTTTTTAAAGAATTAGAACAAATCTAACCCAACATCCTGAATAAAATTAAACATTCCTGAACATGAATAATCTGAATAAGAAACAAAATACTTAAAATTCATTTTCTTTAAAAGGAAAGGTTAGTCCTAGAAAGGAATTTTAAAAATGAGTGAGTTATTATCCATAATCATAATTTGGGCATTTTAAGTGGTATCACTTTGGAATTATGTTTGGATTACTAACTTCAGTAATTTAAGTAGCCAAAAGAATTCATTAGGCAAACTTTTAATAACACAAGCTACCATTATTCATAAAAAATCCAACATCTAGTTTATAAGTGACATGATATAAAAATATTTACTTTAAAATAACTGATGAGGAAATTTTGACTTAGATTTAGTAGCCATCTCAGTTTTCATTTATCTGAGAGAATACTTTTATTTATGCCAAGGAATTTGAATAATGATAAAATGCTTTAATCCAGGCAAATATTTTGGTCTTTAAGGAAATCTGGCTATTTTCAGATTTGGATTTATTTCCAACCAGAATGGGATCTTATTCCTTATAGTTTCAGCGGCACCCGCAACCCTGAAGTACCGTCAGTGTTATGAATAGCGCCGCGCGAAATGTTTAGTCTATCATGCTCCGTTCAAAGACAGCTGACGCTTAAGCCTACGTGCACTCGGCGCTGGGTAGGACGTTTTACTGCCTGAGCGACTTACAGGCTGGCATTGAGCAGTCCCTGGTATTGTGATAGAGTCGGTGGAAATGCTTGCTGCACTCAGCTGAGAATGTGACCGGCCCTGGAGGACAGGAAGAGAATGCTTATTATAAACACAGGCGTGGTTTCCAAACAGATTGCAAGCACTTTACGATGATATAATAGAGCTGTAGCTTGCAGCCTTCCTGCCTTAAAAGAACTTGCCTGAGCACCGTCCTCTCGCACAGATTCGGGGGGGCCTGAGATCGGTGGCAAATCATCCGCAGTCGTTCCACATTCTCCGCACCTCACATCACTGAGCCTTCGCGTCCAGTGGAACGCTTTAGAGTAACAGGAATGGAAAAGCCCCAGACGGGAGGGGAAAGGCAGAGAGCCACACAAGTGGCAGTGAGAAAATGGACCTCTCTGACTCCCACTTTCTGTTCTCTAGTTTGATTATTTGATAGGAAGAGACATTTGCTCTACTTTTTAATTAAAGGGACGGGTGTTGTCATAGTGGCCAGGGCAGTTGTAAAGTGGCAGGGCCTTGAGGCTTCCCTCATCTCTCCCTAGAGTCCATCAAAACTTTCATCTTACACAAATGGAGAAGTCGGAGAGAGGACCAGCGATACTCTGTACCCTTCCTCATGAGGAAGGGGGATCTCTACGTGACCCTCATCATCACAACTTTAAAGTTCATTAACAGATATGGCGCTTGCATTTTATTATGTAGGAAAGCCAAATGTGAATGCTACAGCTTTCCCACACTATAGGCCTGGCTGAGATGATTGGGAAGCGGGAGGCAACGGGAAGCGTAAGGACAGACTGTTCATAACAGCTTAGCGACTTTCTAGAACTCGGAGCACAGGGCGATTTGAACGTGACTCAACAACACCATGACAGAGCTCATCTACACCTAAGAAACGAAGCAACCAAGCCTGTCTCTCCCCTGCCCCACAACGTCCGTTGCGCCTGCTGGCTGGGAACACTGTCTAAATGCCTCAGCATGCCGTTGAAGATCACTCAGAATGTGACTTCAGCTTACTTTTCCAGCCAAAGATTTGCCTCTGGCCAAATGCATCCTTACCCACATGCGCCCACAGCCCACCCACCTGCCTGCCCTTCCCCTGACCACACGGGAGCTGCCACGCTTTGCTCAGTGGATTCCTCCTGACCAGAGGCTGCTGCTCTCACCCTGGAAAGCCTTGTTCACCACTCTCAAGGCCCATTAAGTACCACGTCACTACAAGCCTTCCCGGGCTCTTGGGCATGTTATTCACTTTCTGCATGTCACTGAAACTTTACTTCTGCTTCGACTTCTCACTGCCTGATTTATATCATGGTTCTTCCGTGTGAGCAGCGTCTCCAAGCTCCTGGCCTGCCTGTGCGTCCCCTCTCTACGCAGATCCTCATGCCCCAGTAGCCCACCGAGTGCTCTGCGTGTGATCTTTCTATTTAACTGGATTGCTAATGAATGGCAGGCTCACCTGTGAAGTGCTTTATGAATTTGTCTTTCAAGTTCAAATCCCTTGGGAATATTTCTGAAAAGAAAAAATAAAATAAGAATTTCTAGAATGCAATTCTATTATTTAAAAATATGTCACAGTGACCAGCACTAACCACACAAAGCCACGGCAGTTTGCAGGCTGATCTATCTCTGGCCTCATGCCCGGCCAGCCCTGGAGCTCCAGCACTGCAGTAGCCCACCGCTTGCTTTACCAGGGCCCCTACAGAGCTCTCAGAAGCACACAGCCAGCAGGCCCAAGCCTGTCCTCCCACCCAACATTTCCCCCACTGTAAATGGTAAATCCATCCTCTGCTCAGTTTGAAAATCATGAAGTTATGCCTGGTTTCCTCTTCCCTTGCCTCTGCATCCAGCCAACCTATTAGCTCTGCACATTCCATTTCCAAAAGCCCAGCCGGCACACGTGTCTGCTTCCATCAGCCGGGCGGGAGGGCCCAAGCCCTCATACTTCTGTGACTGTTCTGGCAGCAGCCTCCTCACCAGTTTTCTCTTTCCTGTAATCCTTTTTCCCATGAAGCTGCCAGAGAAAATGAATTGAAATACACTTCAGGTCATGGGACTGTCCCACTTCAAAGGCACTGAGCTTAAAAATAAATAAAGTTTAACAATCAAGCTGTATCTCAGGCTTTCACTAGCATTCACTAAAAATGTGCTGCACAGAAAATGCAGCTTATAAAAATAATTGGGAGCGTATGTGACTCATTTAGAAGAAAAAAAATCTTAAAACCTTAATAAAGCACTTTGGGGACGGCAAGATAGCTCGGCTTGACAGTCTAAGTGTCTGCCTGGGAAGTGCAAGCATCCCAGTTCAGTTCCTGGTAGCACACGCTGTGCCGGCCCGAGACCTCTGGGGACACACACCAGTGCTAGGGAAGCTGAGACAGCAGGATCGCTACGAGCCCGAGCTGCGGTGTGGGACCGTGTACCAAATAAATAAATAAAGTTTAAAACTGGGAGACCCGCTCTTCCAGCATGCTGCCTCCAGCATCTGGTGCCCCGTGGGAGCCGGGGCGTGACAGAGTGGGAGGCCACAGCCCCTGAGGATATGGCTCCTCCTGCTGGGTGACCAACACCTGCACTTTACAATCAAAAATAATTCTGGAAAAAAGCAGGTATGCCAGCAAACGTAGTTCTGTAGGTCTCCTGGCGCTCTGTTCGGTGATGCTCTGGCCGGCACGGGGCCCTTTTCCCCACCCTCTCTGACACTGCGCCCTGCAGCATGGCCTCTAGCACCCCAGCGCTGCATGTGGTACTGGCTGGGCAGCTACTCCGGCACCTTCTGGGCAGCGAGCCAGTTAAGTGCAAAGCATTATGGTCAAAGTATGTCCCAAGACTTTAGCAGTAGTTCTGCTCCCAAGAGCATTTTAGACCACAGTTTTAATCTGTAGATAGACAATAAGGACAACTGAAGTTTGTAAAAAAAAAAAAAAAAAAAAAAAAAAAAACCTACGTATTTTAAGTAAGTTATCGCTCGCTTTCCACCTTTAAAACTTATTTTGTAACTTCTGTCAAAGCAGTGGCCACATTCTTGATTAGCAGGAAGGTGCAAAGGGCGTGTGTCTGTCCCCACTACAATACTGTGGGTCTCCGCAAGGAGACACTGGCTGTTCTCCTGCGTGCCGGCCAGGGACACAGCACCACTCTGCCAACAGGGGCACCGACTGCTTTTCAAACAGAAATACCGTGCTCCTCACCTGTGCCCCCTAGAGGCCACCAAAAGCATCACAGTTTTAGTACTCAGCTGAGTATCAACACACACACGTAACACGTAACAGATTGATTTAACTGAGTCCAGAAGTGATATTTAAATTGATACCCAAAGTAGCAAGCCAGTGATTCCTGAGCAAGAAGATGCACAAGGAAGAACCACCTGTGTGCCGGGGTCTGCCTGGCTAAGGGAGAGGCGATGAGGAGAAGCCAATGGCCAGGCTGCAGGACCAGCCTCGCCTACTCATAAACTGCTCAACCATGGATGACGGAGAGGCAAGAAATTGACGTGGTCAAGCTCATTTAAACTGAAAAATGGTCCACTGCAGGAACAGTGTTATGGTTTGTATCTAGTTGTACCCCCAAAGCCTCATGCAGTCATGAGACGGGGACGTCTAGAGCTTGAGATTAATTCATGATCAAGACTGGGATTGTGGGGGCTGGTGAGATGGCTCAGTGGTCTAAAGCACCTACTTAGAACAAGCTTAGCGAAAGCACAGGGCGCAGGGACGGCGGTTCAATCCCCCAGCACCACATGCCAGCCAGCTCCGCCCCCTGGTGGGCTGAGCTGGCCACACACACACACACACACACACATAAATAAAATTTAAAAAAGAAAAGAAAATATTGATTAAAAAAAAAAAAAGACTGGGATTATGGGTTTTAGTACTGCTGGGATGTGCATACTACACCCAGCCTGGAGCGGAGAGCCTGAATGTGACTTAAGGGAGACAGACTTCCTCTGTGCAGCCATTGTTGCTGCTACTCCTCTCATTTGCTCTCTGCTCTTTGCCACCACCATGAACTGCTGCCCTCTGCCATGTGCCAGTCTTCCTTGGAGCCAGCTGAGTATGGACTGAAGCCTCCAATGACTGTGAGCTAAATAAACCTTTCCTTCCTGCAATTTGAGTGTCAGGTATCTGTCCCAGCCTTGAGAAAAGAGTAACTGAGACAAAGGGTCACCGCCAGGAGAGCGGAGAATATATGGTGTAAACATCGTGATTCCCCCAATGGAAGAGCAAGAACAGACACAGAGTCTACTGGAAATGTCTACACAGCAGGGATCGTGCCTGAGGGCGCCGCTGGCCCATCCTCAGTCAGCAGCCAAGTGCTCAGGAGCACGTCCCGCCTGGCACTGTGCTCACCAAGGTCAATCGGGATCAGCCATGTCCCCTGCCTTGGGTGTGGCCTGCAGCTGCTCATCCACCTCCACCAGCATGAGGAGCGGCATAGTTGTCACAAGGAACCAGCGCCCACAATGCCCAGGTGATGCCCTTCTATAGAAACTTGCTTCCTGGTAGTCTCCTCTCTGTATTAACCTAAAACAGCGAGAGGCGAGAGGCGCCAGGAAAGAGAGCGCTGTGGATGGAGAGGAGCTTTAAGCTCACCCTTTTTATGACCTCTGATTTTTTTTTTTCTTTTTCCAGTACCAGGGATTGAACTCAGGACCCTGAGCTTGCTAGGCAGGCGCTTATTCTACTGAGCCATCTCCCCTGCCCTTCACTTCTGATTTTTGAACATAAGTTTGTGTTAGTGTATCAATAAAAACCTGATCAAATGAAAATAAATTTACATTTTTCATGACATGCAAACTTTCATGCACCCTTGTCATTGTGGAATTTTGTTATTTATTGCTGCCACTGTGCTGTATTTTTATTACTTTTTATACTGGGTTTACCAGGTACTCCAAGACCCATTTTGTATTACTTTCTGTCTTAGCTCTAATATCAGGATTTCTCCAAGGAGCTCTGATTCCTTTTATTTGGAAAAGATACAAGAACGGAAGAACCAGGCTTGGTGGGCTCGGCACGGGTGTGGCGGCTGTGCGGTGCAGCTCGCTGTGGAGGCCCTCAGTTCCATTCCCAGTACTGAAAAAAGAAAGTAAAGGCAGCGGCACGTGGCCAGTGCCCCATGAGTTCTGCGTCTTCAACTCACCCTTGGGGGAAAGTGAGTGTACACTAAATGTATACAGCTGGTACACCTGCAATCCCAGCACTCAGGAGGACAGAGAGAGAGAGAGATTATGCTAAATGTGCACAGACCCTTTTCCTGGTCATTATTCTCTGGTCAGTACCATATAATAACTGTTTCCATCCTATTTGCAAGAACTTAGGTTTTTATCTTGGAATGACTTAAAGTATACATCAGGACGTGCCTAAGTTATACCAAACCATTTAGTGGAATTCCTAAACAGTGAATTTGTTATCCGGCGGGAGGGTCTGGACCAAACCCTCACCCATTCTGAGGGAAGGCTGTATTGTGCTTTAGTTTCCCAGGATGCCAAGACAAGCGTCCACCCAGTAGATGGTTTACACACAAGGTACTTATTGCCTTGTGATTCTGACAGCCAGGGGTGAGAGGGAGCTGTGGTAGGGCCACACTTTCACTGGAGATTCAAGGGAAGGACCCTGCCCCACCTGCCGGGCTGGGCTCCTGGAACTCCCAGGCTCTCAGCCGGCTCTGCCTCCATCACAGCGCAGCGTCTGCCTGCCTCTCTGCACCTTGGCTTGGCGTCAGATTGGGGGATCCCAGACACACTGAATGAGGACCTCCCTGCTGCATCCTGACTTCACTTGAACTCAGCGCACTGGCAGTGACCCTGCTGCCTAATAAAGCCCCACTCCGAGGCGCTAGAACATTTCTTTTTAGAGTGGCATAATTCAATTCATGGTGATAGGAATCTGCTAAGCACATATATTGGATGTTATTAATTACATTATCAACATTACTTTCACAGCTAAAAAATTATTCCTGTTTTAACTAAGATATCAAAAATATAACTCATTTACAGACTTTCAATGTATGTATAACTTTTACATAAATAAACACAGATGTTCTGCTAAATCCCTTGCAAAGGAAATCAACTGACCAGCTTGGCCAGCACAAGTTGTAAACAACCAATGGCAAAGAATATTTCAACTGAAACACTTCCCAAAATAGAAAATAGTTTTGAAACATTCCTTCCAAGTAATTTAGATTGTTACAAAATTATCTGCTAAAAATTGCAGGAGCGTTTAAAGTTTTTATAATTTTTAAGTAACTGCTGAAAAAGTGAAGTACTATTTAAGCAATTGTTTTCCCTCACAAATAGGTTTTAGAGACAAAATTCATATCCTAATATTGAAACTAGATTGTTTTGGAAGACTCCCAACTGCTTTCAAGAGAGATTTTTTAAAAAACCATTTATTATTGAGCTGTTTCAGATATACAGAAAAATGATGTATCACGCACCCAACACCCAATTCCCTCTGGCAGCAGCATCCCACTTTGTACAGCATGCTTCTTACAGTTCATGAGTCTCTACGGAAC